GATAGACAAGCAAGGGAGTTCTACCTGATAAATTCTTCCAGTCTGAGGGTGAGTCATTGATATTATAACTACTGAGTAGAGTGAGGTAGCTGTGATGAAATGAGCTTTGGGTACCAAAAACTTATGCCTCTGTACCTTGCCTGCTATTCTGTGTATGTTTTTCCAACCAGATGAAAATAACTTTGTAGTATATCACTTTAGACTGTCCTTCTTAGTTTGTTTAAAGTGATGTTCTGTAGGACAGTGTCTGAAGCATTACTAAATTCCAAAGCTATCAGGTTTAATATTTCTGCCCTTCCTATGATAACCCATACTGATGGTAGGAACTATTTGGCAAAATAAACTGTGGGGTTACACAAGGTAATGTGTGGCACGATTTGGCTCTTAGTGGCTATACATTATTTATGGTTATCTTGCTAGAACTGAATCACCAGACTAGGAAACATCTGTGTTTACAATAGTAGTAAGTGCTACGACTGCTCATCCTGACACTCTTGTTATCTTACTTTTAGCCAAAATCAGTAAATATGTGTTCAGTGGTTATGAGAGATCGCTTGATGGTGATAGCATTTTCCAGTGCCACTAAAGGTGCTGACAGGTTGATTTTAGAGAAACAAAGTGTACTTTGTATTAAACCTTGAACAGCCACTTTTCCCCTTGCCACACTTGATAGAAAACTGACATTGTTGCATTTTTAAGGGATAGTCCTTTTTATTCATTACTGTCTCTTGTCTGTATTCTTAAGTAGCTTTACATATGAGCTAATGTTACAAAAAAGTCTAACTGAATTAAACCAGTGCAGTATTCTGAGTTAATCTTGAAAGAGTTTATTTTAAGACAGTTCAGAACAGTGTTCCACTACTCTTTCACTCTGCACAAATGAATTTGAGGCTGTTTTAAAGTCAAAAGTACTGCATTGAACATTCATTTTGGGGAGGTGACTGTGCATGTGTGTGTGCATGTGCATGTAAGTCTAAATGGACATTCAGTAAGAATGCTCAACATATATATTTTTGAAGTTAAAGGTTCTTGAAACTTGCTTTCCATCTTTTTGTTATTTAGCATGGCTTTACCCTATCTTCTTTCAAGTCTTCTAAGGTGCTATATGCTAATGCTCCCATAAGCAATAACACTTTAGGCCTAAATTTGCTGTTGGTGAATTTATTTACTACAATGTAAGCAAATGCACAAGGTGAAAGTCTGTGGAGAATTGGGCTTAAAATGTTTACAACTACTACAGTTGCTACAATATTTTTGTTACCTTTTTTCCAATTTCATTAATGTTTGTTCTATAGACCTGATAATATTTTTATTATGACATTTTGGGGTCTGTTTAATAGAGCTTTATATGACTGTAGAATGTGACTGGGGGCAATTTCAGATTTTAAAAAATGGTGTTTCAATTGTTATCCTACACCTGTAAACCTGTAATGGGAAAGAAAATCCTTTGGGGTTTGTTGCTTTTTTTGTTTTTGTTTTTTTTTATAAAGACAACATAACTGATTCCCTTGTGCCTCCCTGACTCAACCCAAAAAGAATAGAATCAAATTATCTGCATATTGTAGCTGGGAGGTTTTCTTTGTTTTGTTTTAGAACTGAAAGATCAGTTTAATGTATTGAAAGATTAAGGGGAGAGAGAAACAAGATCTGACAATGCCATGGTATGAAAGAAGAGAAGATTCCTTAGTCCCAAAAAAGGAGAAGAAAAAATGAACCCCAAAGGTGACCTCAGTGCAGGAAGGATAATGGAAATGGCAGAGGCCATCAAAAGACACAATTGACTGACAGAAGACCAAGCAAAAGTTATAGGTCAAAGAGAGATGCAAGCACCCTCAAACAAAAATATGTCTATGTTATCAGTGATTCAGTCCTAAGGAAAGCAGGCAGGCAGTCATAAGGGAATACCTATAAAACAGAAGTGTATGCTGTTTGCCACAAAGAAAGACTCAGGACTTTGACTGGGGCTGATGAGGATTCTGATGGGAGCATGGAAGAATCCATTAATCTTTTTTATGTGAGAATAAATTATACAACCAGATACTTACTGAGAAGGATTAGGGATAACTATAGATGGTTGGGGAAAATGCTTAAAGAAGCATGGATAGGAGAATTTTGTAAAATTTCTATGCCAATAACAAATGTGAAACAGGTGGCTAGTCTGACAAATGAGGAGGTTGCCTAAGAGGGACAGGTATAAAATGTTTAGAAGGGACAGAAATAAGAACAAAGGTTGTGCATCAATGAAATGGTAGATTGTAGGGAAATAAGATGTGATGGCATGGATCAAACTGAATTTGTTTAGGTGAGAATCTTATTAGGAAGGAATTATAAGGAGAACCCTGGAGACAGTGAGTTGTAGGTTTGTTACAGACCACCAAGTTCAGAATTGGAAATGGCCAGGAACCTATACAATATCTCAGGAGTCTTCAGAAAGTTTAATTCTGAAAAACTAAGGCAATTAGTTATGGAGATTGATTGGATTTGAGCGTTCAAAAACTTGGATATGGAAACAGCAGGGGAGGATTAAGGCATTGTGTCCCAAGTAAGATGAGGGAGAAGAAAATAAAGATGGGGAAGGGCTTCAGACTGTATAGGTGCACAAGAACCGCAAACAAGCCATTAAAAATAAGTAGAGGATCTCCAAGCACTAAAAAATGGGACAGATCACGAAGGATGAGTATCTTTCTGTGGTCAAGGAATACAAAAGTAATACTGGCCAAAGGCTTGGTTGAGCTGGATTTTTTTAAGAATATTAAAACTAATAGTAAAAACTTTCTGACCACATAAATAAAAGGAAAACCAGGAGGAATAAAACAGGCACCTAGATGTTGAAGATGCCATAGAGACAACAGGTCACCTGGTCATGGCCCAAATACTTTGCCTTTACCTTCATTAAGGATGAAGAGGTAACTGAAGATATTGATGGTGTACCACATAGCAATGAAGAATGAAGATGAGATAATAGAAATTACCACATCTGAAGTATAGCCAAATTTAGACTGTTTGTTGTCATGAAATCTGGGAGCCCTGATAACCTCCACTCTAGAATACTGGAGGAAACAGCGCATGAACTAGCAATTCTTTTAGTATGGAAACATCACTTAGTTTATCAATTTGGGGATATTGCCTATGACTTGAAAATAAATCTATTTCCTGTTTTTAGAAAGAGGGAGAACAGTAATCAAGGTAATGGCAGGCACATTCACTTTACTTTAGCAGTTGGGAATATTTTATAACAGATGCTAAAGAAAAGAATTGTTAAAGGTATGGAAGGAAATGGATAATGGGACAAAATACAACAGAAGTCTATCATCTGCTATGACCAGATGACAGACTTCTGGATAAGGGCAATGCAGGGGATTTATTTAAATTTAAGAAAAGCTTTT